ACTCCCATCCGGTCACATGGGCAGCAAGCCACTCCCACAAAGGAGGCCACACCCACAGAATAGGTTCGAACAATTTTTGAAACCCACCACTGGACCCCTCCCATGATAGAAACAAAACAAAATCATAACTCATAAGGAGCCAGTGGTTAGAATGCAGTGTTGCAGGTGTTGATCCTCACCAGCTCAAGGAAGACTCAGACTTCCAACCTTCTGAGGTTGATAAAATGAGGACCCATATTGTTGGGGGCAATATGCTGACTCTGTAAACTGCATAGAGAGTTGTATAAAGCATTAAGAAGCAGTATATAAGTCTAAATTCTAGTGCTGGTGCTAGGGCTAAAATAGAGAAGAATGCAATTCTTCGAGTTATTTGCAGTGTAAGATTTGCTGAGATCAGCTTCAGCCGGGATGTCCAGGGGTAAAAAGTCATTCATTCTCATATCAGTTCAGCTAGCATGGCCTTGTAGTAAGCAATGATGTGTTGCGTTGCATTCCTAGAGAAATTATATTAGCTCCTTTTCCAAATCCAGGTCAACATTTTATGACAGATTTTTTTTTGCTCCTTGTTCCACAAACTCTGAGTTTTGGGTCACCACTTCAAGATACAATACAAGATATTATTATGCTGAGAGATCTGTCTTAATCTCAATTCAGTTGGAGGGCACCAAGTTAGAGAAGGTTGCAATGGACAATGCAGAAATGAATGCTTAGATTGTCTGACTTGCTTTAACGCAGATCAAAGTCCAGTGATCTCATCAGCCCCAGTTAAAACCAGAGCTTTAATCTTCGCATTTCTCTCCTAGAAAGTCTGAGCTCTGAACTCTTGGGAGACCTTACTTGGTTGTTTTTTTTTTATACTACTACACTCAATTCAGTAGAGGAGGGGAGGAGAAAATTGGCTTGCAACAAGGAATGTGTCATAAGCAATATGTTACAAGTTGGACTTGAGACCTATTTCCTGTTTGGGAGAGACTGCTTAAACTCTTGATTTCCCCTGGAATTTGCCTGGTTCTTGCAAACTGTAGATTAAATCTTGCACATTAATCCAACTTTCATATACATGGCTCAGGATCCTCTATTATTCAGAATTTCCAGACAAAGTGGAAGGCTTTGAAGCATACAAAATGTGTATAGAGCAACAACACACCTTCCTTCTACATTCTTCCGGAGAGTTGGCAGTATTAAGAATGATTTATATTCTGTCAGTTTTATTCAAGAGAAATGATATTCTGTATTTCAGCCTTTTCTGATTAACACTGTTTGGGTGAAAGGAGAAACTTTTTCTCTTTCAATGTTGTTGAGCTCAATTTATATGCATTTTCTTTCCTTTATTCCCACCTTCATTTGTCTGCCTTGGAAATAAACGATACTGACAGCGTCAATATTTTAAAACCCTTCCAAACTGGACATGATGGCTTAAATCCAGATATCCTGCCAAATTAGATGCATTTATGGTCAATAATTTAAAAGAGGACCATTAAAGAAGGAAGTCTAGGAGTTATTTCAATTGCTGGCTGCATACAGAAGTAGAAATGAAGTGGGACTGTAGATTGTGCCACCAAATGAACCATTAAATGTTTTTCCCAAAGATAACTCAATTTTGCTTTTATGTAAAGGAGGCAATAGATACAAACAACAACATTTTTTTGCTAGTGCATGGATTGCAATCAACTGATAACAAATATCAATCGGTTTAAAGTTAGAAGGGACCTTGGAGGTCTTCTAGTCCACCCCTCCTGCCTAGACAGGAAACCCTACACCACTTCAGACAAATGGTTATCCAACATCTTCTTAAAGACTTCCANGGGCAATATGCTGACTCTGTAAACCGCTTAGAGAGGGCTGAAAGCCCTATGAAGCGGTATATAAGTCTAACTGCTATTGCTATTGCTATTCTCACATAGGAAGTGGTACCTATTTATCTACTCGCATTTGCATGCTTTTCTGGGCAGGAGCTGGGGCAAGGATGGGAGCTCACCCTGTTGTATGGTGCTCAGGTCTTGAACCCAGACTGTCAGCTTTAACTGCTGAGCCACTGAATGCAAATTAAGGAAAAGTAAATTTTTAAAAAGTGACATCATAATTATTTCCCCAGATGTGTTTTGGAAAACCCAGTTCAAGTGATAGGCTGGTAAAAGGAAGGTTTTGTATGGCATTCCATCTTGTGTGTCCTCTTTTAGATTCCAGAATGTGGATGGAGGCAAGCCAACTGATGTCACAAACAGGCAGGGATTACCACACTTGAACGAGGTATGTGTTCTTCTAATTAGAAATCTAATCACTCCAGGCAGACTCATTACCGCTGTCTTTATGTTATTCATTTTGGCAGCCTAAAGGACCATGGCAATTCCTTCCCCTAACTTGTATTCAAGGATATCATGTTTTTAATCATTAAATATCTCAAACTCCCACTTTCAGGAAACACTGAAGAATTGCTTTTGAGTAATGTAAGAAGGCTGGGTCTTCCAAATTCTCACCTGATGATTTTTTTCTGCATTGTTGGCACTAAACAAGCTCTTCCAAAATCACAATTTTGTTAAAGTGTCCCTCTACAAAAAATAGGGAAACATCAGACATATCCACATCATTATGTTTTCCTGCTCTTCCTACTCATAGAAAAGATGCTTGTCCCATTTCTTAAATAATATAGATTAAACTTGGTCAGAATGACAGAGAAGGCAAATACAGCAAAAGCCTCTCTGTTGTTCCTACAGAATACAGCTCTGCATTCTGCTTCAGCTTTTGTTCAGTTGTGATGTCAAATAGTAACACCAGTAAAAACATCAACAAGACTTTAACTGGAGAAACTTATAGAGATGGGAACTCAGAGGACCTCTCCAGAGGTGGGTTCCTACCAGTTCGCACCTATTTNATTTTAATTCATTCTTTCAGAAACAAACTTGTATCAAGTTGGATCACTGAGTGCCTGTAAGAAAAGCAAAATCTATGGGTTGTAAAAATTTGGAGTTTTTACAGTTCAAATGCATTCAAAATCTCTTCTTCTAGATCAGTGTTTCTCAACTTTGGCAACTTGAAGATATCCGGACTTCAACTCCCAGAATTCCAAATGCTGGCTGGGGAATTCTGGGAGTTGAAGTCCGGATATCTTCAAGTTGCCAAGGTTGAGAAACACTGTTCTAGATGGTTTTACTTCTCAGCTGTACTTTTCAAATATCTGAATGAGGATAGAACACCCTCCCCAAACAAATTATACTCCTTAATATGTATTTTTTTTTAGAAATCATCCTGCACAGAAGCCACTCATGTCCTATGAATGCAATTAAGGTCATGCAATTAATTTTACTAATGAAATAATCTTCAAAAGTGCTTTTTGAAAGGTTTTTTCTCTTATGGTTTCTAATTTTCTAAAGTAAATACCAAGCTATTGACATTTGTCAAAGCTCACTTTTATAAATAGCACATTTCTATCACACTAAATGTAATAGAATCCTCTTAGAAAACCTATTAGATCTTTTAAAGTAATGTAAAGTTTTATTACTTTTAGTAATGAGTGTGTTTGTTTTGTTGAATTAATTACCAAACTGTCTTCAGTTTCAATGAATCATCCTTCATTCTCTATAAATATATATGCACCATTGCCCTAATATAATTGATTGATAAAAGGAATAGATAGTGATCTATTGATATCTATGTATCATTAATCTGTTATTTTATTTTACTGATATCATTAAGTGGACAAAGCAAGGCAAATAACCATTAATTGGTTGTAGGAATAGAGAGGGAAATTGATTTCTGGGAACTGCTTAATATCATTACTTTGGTCTATCATTTGAATTAGAAAACAATTCCAGTTTTCAGACGTATACTTTGCAAGAAATTGGGAATAGGGTTGAAGACTATCTTAATTGATGGAAGTAGCTTTGTAGGCAGAAACATATGTTCATCTGAGTGATTGTACTTTTCAGGCCTGCTTCCATTGAAAACTTGAAAAAGAAAACCCCAACTCCATTGAATTAGAGAAGAGGTACTTTTACTAAGTTTGAAACGATAGCAGTAAAAACAAGGCAAGTTCTGATTCAAAACACATGAAGGTTACACATTGAATGTTCACCCAAAATCCCTCCTGCCAGGGTCCAGCACTGAGAGTCCGATCAAAGTCCAGTATGACATTGTGGGAAAGCTACTCTTTGGATATTTCGTGCATCTGGATTTCTGGATGATTGGCCTTGACATAGTATAAACCACTCCAATCAGCAGTGCCATAATTCATGAGTACAAACCTCCCTTCCAGTTCTCATGCCACTGCTGCAACATAGTAGCTCATTCCCCATCCCAAATGACCAAGCCCCCCTCCCCATTTTTATGGCAGCCAAAAGCAACCACGCTGCAGAAACCCATGCTGGAGAATCTACAGTTGACAATATTCTCCACTGGAAAGTCTGGTAGACACCAGTCTTTTGATGTTGAGCTTCCACTAATGATACACCATGAACAATGTATTTCATATTGGTTAAAGATAAGAATTAAAAATATCCATCACAAATCTCTTTTCTACTGAGACGTTACAATAAACCAAAACTGATCTTCTTTAGCATAATGATATTGATGTTAATGTTATCTATTCAGTCATGTCAGACTCTTGGTGAGTTTATGAGCCAAGTCTTTTCACATCTGTCCTTGCTCTCCTTTTTTGAATTTTTCTATGCTCTGGCTGGTATCACTTTTGATGGTGTCCAGAGAGTGGTGGGATTCAAATAATTGAACAACCAGTTCTCTGCCCTAATGATTGGCTGGCAGAGGTGGGTTCCTTCCAGTTCTAACCTCTTCTAAAGAAGAGGTTCTACAAATCTACAGTGCCGTTTAGAACTGGTTCCAGCTCCCTCCCCCCGCCCATCCGCACATCATCAAGATGAAGAGCGAGAGGAGGAATTTTGGGAGTTGAAGTCAGGGGTGGGTTTCAACCGGTTCGTGGCGGTCCCTNATACCTTGCTCTTCTTGTATGACTGATGTGTAATACCTGGTTCACACTTTCACCTTTCCAAAGTAAGTTCTTCATTTTGGGCCATGATTCCCTTGCTTATTTGAGTCATCATTATCACAACTACCTTGTCCTATCACTTTAGTGTCCCCATTAAGGTCAGCAAGGGCACTATATCTGTTATGCTGGGACACAGCAAAAACTTTGTGTTTATGGTTCACAGCTCTCACCCTGCCAGATCCCATGGTTGTCCAGATTGCTCTTCTGCGGGATCTTTGCAGTAGAGGGGGCTGATAGTGTGGCATCTCCATAGAGTGGAATGGCTGAATTGAGCACCTAATTTCTGCTTAGCGAGCACAGGTTAGAGATTCTAGATAGGTAATCTGTCTATGTAGACTATTAATTTATTTACAAAGGGGATAGTATTCGAATCTGAAAAGAGTACTGCGAAGGACAGCTGCAAAACAACTATTACATTGAAATAAGCCAGTCATTTTGAAATAAAATAAAGTCACAATCTCAAGCGCACTAACCTAGAATGTATTATTGCTATTTTTGATTTATAGTTATATGATATGCGCACCGTCATGCACACAGGCGACTACCTTAGTCCTCTGTATCTCTCTGACTCCTTCCTCGCAGCCAGCAGCTCCTCCCCCCAGCCTCAGGAAAGTTCAAATGAAATGGGAATTGTTGTGGACAATTTGCTGGCTCGGTAAACCACTTAGAGTGGGCTGTAAAGGATTGTGAAGCGGTATATAAGTCTGTGGTATTTCTAGTTTGTCTTCTAGGATCAATGTGTCACATTCAATTCTTTCATAAGATATCTCTCATAAGATATCAATTATGACTTTCCTAATATATGATCTTGACTGATCAAAAAAAGGAAATCAGCATTGAACTTGGATTGTAGGCTAGATTGGAAAAAGTTGGAGAGGGGAAAAAAGAAAAACCAAACACTCCAGAAGGAAGCATGAAGTTGATTCCTGCATGATTGTATGTCTACATAAGGAAATGTATTCAACTCAAATGGCTAAAGCATATGACATGCAAAAATTCAGCCCCTGAAATACAAAACAGCACCATTTCCAAAATTATGTATCTATTCTACTTATGTGTTCGCTTTCCAATTTTAATCATTTTTTTCACTTAAGCCTTAAAAAAATGGTCCATCCCCAAAAACTTCATACTGCCTAATAATGTTTTGTTCTCCAATATGTTACATATAAAGCATATTTAAAAACCTGAAATTGTAAAAAGTTTCTCCCAGATATTAAATACATTTTGATGCCCAAACCTTTTCTTTGATGATACTGATCAAATTTTCTGTACCAAAATACACTCTTCAGTTGATTGGAAATTCTAGCTTATTCCAAAATAACACATAAGTGAAACTAATGCAGTGTGTTATATGTGAAGCAGTGGCTGCTTCAAAGTAATTTTTAATTATACCGCTTGCTTCCAAGAACTGAAATATTGTTTTTATTATATCCTTGATTTCTTCACTTCCCATGGAAAGTTCCTTTGCCCTGTGGCGTTGTCATCCCTCCCCTCCGCCCCATAATTAGGCCATCAAAATTCAGAAAATTACCTTGGCACTATATCAGGTGCAAAGAATCAGGATCATACATTAAGTTGGAATTCAGAATATTTATTGCTCAAGTTTATAGACAAGAATAAAAACTCCTTTTAATGATCCTGTAATCCCTTAATTTGGGGTAGAGTCAAGAATCTAATCAACTAAAATTCAACATTAAATTGGCATCAGGTAAGAGTCAACAGAATTCAGGCAGGTGGACTTAAATTATTTATGGAAATGTAACTCTAGGTTGATGACTCATTTAACTCCACTTTCCTGCTATGTCTGCTTATCTCCTATACACATTTCCCAGGCCTTTGGTAAGCTTAATGCATCTAATTAGAATGGACCTTTCATTCCCCCTCCCCACCTAAATATTGTTTATTAGTGCTTAAATTTAAACAAGAAAATCATCAAATTGCAAAAGGAAGAGGCATGCATGATGATGTTATTGGAGCTATGTTTTATCTAGAACATGGCACTACTAGCATTGATCACATTTATATGGACTAGCAACCTTCTAACAAATCTGAATTGCAAAACCAAACTGAGAAGCTGAATTCCTGTAGTAACTTTGGTTCATGAATAGATAATCAGCAGATATTTGTCAATATGCTGTCAGGAGTTTTGCTGATCCTCTGTATTGCTGGAGTCAAGCAAATTATTTACTCCCACTCTGAAAAAGGAAACATTAAACATATATTTCCTTTTGAAATGATATGTTTTTTCTGGACTCCGATCCCTCCCTCCTTCCCTCCTTTTGACTTTTCATTGACAAATGATAAATTGGCTAATAATTGCAAATATATTTCTTAATTAGGCCCCGAGCTGCTATTTCAATTAGAACTTCAGATTGGATGGGAAATAAGTCGCACATGACTGTGAGTTGGCTATGATTTGATTTCCCTTAGATTTGAATTACAGTGAATTTTATTCCCTTCACAACTTAGCAGGTGCTCAATGCAATTTCAAGAAGGAATGAAGCAGATGGAATGAGATGCCACTCATTAGTCATGATGGATTCTGTACTTGATTTTTGCTCATATTTTTGGATAATAGCACAAATGTAAAGTTCTCGGAATAGGGAGGTATTCGTTCTTCTAACCTGTGCTTGAAGACTTCCACACCTATACCTCATTTATTTTCCCAGCCTACTGCCTCCAGCTCCCTATGTTTATATTCAGCATTAGAATTTTAGGAATTACTTTTTTCATCATACCCGGAAGGAACTTCAATATCTCAGTTATATTAAACAGTCAGATCTTTCATTTAAAATGGTAATTTGGGATTATTCCTTAGAATCATGAGAATATTTATTTATTTAGCATATGGTGATGGTAGCCTAGCCAAGAGGTCACAGTGTTAATACAGGGAAGTTGTTTGGCTGCCTAAGTCTAGTTGGCTCATTTCACACACTATCCAGAAGTGAACTACAGAGGGTGAACAAATGCCACACTCAAAAGGGCTAATGCAACATCAACTGCATTACCTCTATTGATGTCACCTCGCATTCAGGTATAACATTCAAGCAGATTTGGCACAGTTTGGGTTCATACTTCCACATGAAGCACCATTATTTTTTCCCACCAAAGTGGTTCCTATTTATCTACGTGCATGCAACGTGCTTTTGAACTGCTAGATTGGCAGAAGCTGAGGCAAGTGATGGGAGCTTCAGCATCTTTAAGCCATGGAGCCACCACTCTGAGAATAAAATCTATTTTGGTCCATTGCAAAGCATTTTATGGTGTGATTTCCCCAGGTCTTGTTTTGTACAAAGAGGGAGGGGCAAAAGAACCTACAATTTTCTCCCTAACACTCATCATCGTGTTATGAACCTCTGTAATTTCCACTTCATTCAAGTTTTACAGTTTTACGCTGTGTACGAGGAAAGCACATGGAGAGACTCTCATTCTTTCCATTCAAGACTGGGTAAGTCTTGGTAAGTCTTGAATGGTAATTGGTACCATTGGTAATTGAATGAGAGTCTTGACCAAGATTCTGTGTAATTGAATGATAGTGTTTGTTGATTGGTGGGTGGGAGAACTTGCAAACCCCCCAAACAAACCTTCCAAGAAACTAACTTGGGAAAATACCAGTTCATCTTTCCTGCATTTATTTTGCACAAGACGTCCTTCTCTCTGCCACCTGGCAAGAAGACTGATAACAAAAGCAGTTTATATTTTCTAAGACCTATTCAGCTCTTATTAGCCTTGTCCTGGAGACAGCCTGTCTCTCAGATTCAGCTTTAATTTCAGTTGTCATCATTATCATCATCTTAGCCATTTTCTATGCACTGCAGAATGAAGGCCTCTTCCACATGTTTCCAACCTATTTGGTCCTGAGCTTGCTTTTGCCAATTGGTTCTGCAATACTTGCTGATGTTGTCAATCCGTCTTGTTTTAGGACTCTTTCATGGACACTTTTTATCAAGTGGGATCCATTCTATAACTGTCTTGGTCCACCTGCCATTAGTTCTGCTTGCTATGTGACCAAACCATTTACATTTCATTTTTTACACTCTTGATGATATTGTATATACTGATTGTAGTATGTTTATGTAAACTACTCCTTGTAGCTACAAGTGTCTACTCCTTGATTGAGCAAGGCATTAATTATTGCTTGCTGGAATACTGAGTCAAACACCTTTATGTAGTCAATAAAAGCCATGCACAGAGGC